CTACCGCGGGTACCCTGCAACTTTGAGTGTGGGGGGCACTGGGGGCCGTAGTGGGTTTGAGGGGGTTGGTGGGCGCGGCCCCGCGGGTACCCTGCAAGCACAGGGCCTCGCAAATGAGGTAAATCATGTTGCCCCCTGCCCCAACACGTAGTCAGAGATGGGATGGGGCCGCCGGTGGGGGGCCGGCTAACGCAAAGACCATGCATTTTGCCAGTAGCTGCGCGGCCTGCGCCTCCCTTTCTCATCGTCCCCCACCCCTCATCGAGTAGCAGCAAAGGCTATGGGCCTATGGCCAACACTCTCCCACAGGAGTAGGTAGTGAAAGGCAAAAACAATAGAGAAGAACATAGTGTAGTTAAAAAAAAATAAAAAAATAAAAATAAAAATCCTTAAAGTGTTATGAACTTGGTTGTCTGCCGATTTTTTCCGCCACTCACACACAGACCGTCTCATACATGCCCGTACATGCACGAGAGAAGGGGGAAGAGGAGACAGAGTCCAAACTGCACACAGATCAGAGTAGACAGCGGAATTCAACCATGCACAGATGGGGAGAAGAGCTCAGAAGACACACAGTGTTTCTCACTCTCTGACAAACTCCCAACAACCAATCACAAGAAGAACCTGCGAGGATGGCAATTGAAATCACACAGATGATGAGCCACTCAACTAAAATATCGTCACAGAGTTTGTTCCAGTATCTATCCTACACCTCGTTAGTAGTGCCACATCAAAACAGCCTCCCTGAGGCTATCGCCAACCACCGTGATGAAGAACAGATCCTGCGATGAAGTCTTCAGTGCCGATGGACAACTCAGACGAAGTACCAGGCAGCTATGGCTGCCACCACCCACGAACACATAGTGTAGAGCCTCGATATAGCCCGGCCATACGCAGATACCGAAGGGCCTAACCTATTAATAGACTGCAGTCTACAGTCACTACAGGCTACAGCTACTCTAGCCTACACGTAGACCGGACTGACTGACCGACCGGTACCGTTTCTGTTTTGGCCTCCCGGCCTCTACTGGACCCGGCTATAGGCTATAGGACCGTCTATCAGCATAGGCCCATAGGGCCTGTCTGTCCTAGGGGTAGCTCGGGCCTGCTATTTGCAGTTAGGGTAGTAATAGGAAATCCAGTTAGTGTTAGGACTGTATTTTTCCAAATTTACAGATATGTCCCTCACGAATTTCCTTACAGGTAGGTCTCTCGGCTTAGCCCTCAGCCAAACAAAATCACAAATCTAACCTACCGGGTCGCTGTACAACCTCGCAAGCAGTCTCGACAGTCAGAATCAGCAAGTCATTGCACTAGTCTCAGAGAGGGAGCGCCTCACACTTCCTCCGTCCCACAGTGAGAGTGGCAAAAAAAAAGCACAGGACCCCTGGTAAAACCCAACGCCACCTAAATACTGAACCCGTGTCGCCATCTGCACCCCGCTGCGAAGGCCTGTATGCAAAATTCACAGACTGAGCTTGCGCCTGTCGATCAATAGGCGGTCACAGACCTGCATCCTGCTACGAAGGCTCAGACCGGTAATGATACAGTTTGGCTATCACAGACTGAGCCTGCGCCTGTCGATCAATAGGCGGTATAGGGTCCGATGGCGTCCCCTGCCCGTGCGGGCCGAGTTCTGTCCTCTGCCTGACGCGTCGACCTCCACCATCATCTCCATCCGCCGCCGGGCGCCGGGGCATGTAATCGGAGTCACCTAGATCGTCGGCGCCTGTGGTCTCACCAGCCTCCGCGGCTGTGGAGCTGTCATCATGGTAGATCACCACATCGCCTCGTCTCTTCTCGACTCGCCCTGAACGGCATTGGACTGTCCCCCCGTCCGCCACTGCCCCGCCAGTCGCCGGAATCTGTGTGGTCGGAGCTCTGGCGTGAAAAGTCAGTGGTGGACGGCGACGGTGATATGGAATCGATGCACCTGTCCCCTTCTTCCTCGCCCGGGATAATCTCGCGGTCGCCGTCCTCGTGTCGTGGACATCCGTTGTCTTGGCCCGCAAAGGCCTCCCATGTCGCTCCTCGTATG